CTCCTTTCACATCTGATTTTTGTGAGGGGTAGGAAAACAATCAGTGCACAGTTTTACAGGTATGTGATGAATAAGCACTTGACTGACAGGAATTAGCATGGTTTAATTTTACCAATTTTAAAAAGTTATGCTAAACTTTCATAACATTGTGCAATATAGAGAAGTTATTTGTGGGCCATCTGCCCAGATATTAGCTCAGTTCAAACATCACAGCCCACGATGTACTGGAACCCAACACGGACTTTCAAGCGCAGTAGGCAGGCAGAGCAGAGCTACATCAAAACCTATACTTCTAGTTTCATCTACGTAACACTTCGGGTTTTAGGTTCAGTGGACTCCAAATGCAATATAATGACTGTTAAGATCAATTCAGACACCATGTCACACCATGCAAACCTAAATAAATACATAAAAGCTTGACTATAGTTCTGGATTGTTCGTTACTTTGAAACCATTATACATTAATTCAATCCACATACAGAACTACAGTTAAATTTGACATGCTAATAGAATTGGGTTGCAAGATGTATGTATGTGTGTGAAACTTCAAATTGCTTGTCAATTTATGGCATTCCCCTGGGTCACAGAGACTTCTTAGGCAAGCCATACTCAGAGGTGTTTTTGCCAGTTCCTTCTTCTGAAATACAATAAACAGCACATGGTATTCATTGACAATCTCCCATCCAAATATTAATCAGGATTTAGCTTTCAAGATCAGATAGGATCTTGTGCCTTTATGGTATTAGTCTCTTTTTTTTTTACAGGGCATGGAACCAAACTATTTATTGCCATCTGATATTCTCCTGCAATGCATTATTAATGAAGCACTGTTATAAAAGACTGTTTACCTAGATCCTTAGAGTAAATCTACAATAAGGACTACCTGGAGATTGATGTCTTTGAAAATTAAAGTCAAATTCTGAGAGGTCCCAAAAGATGAGCAAACTTAATTCATTATAGACTAAGGAAAAGTGATGGAAAATCATGTTAACAAAAGAGAAAGGATATTTAATGTTTGCGTCTGAAATTCAGCAATTTGGTAGTTAAGTAACAAGCTGTATCTCAGTAGATAGAAAAGTGGTAACTGAGAGATAAATGATAATATCATATTCTATATATTCCTGGGAACAGGGAAAAACCATTTAATATGAATAAAGGGAAAGGTTTGTATAATCCCAAAAGGTGATATTATTCACATACTACCTCTTAATCAGCAACATATACATTTACTTCACAAATGGAATATATGCTCTAAAATTCAGTCTCTGAAAAACTTCAAATTTCTGGCTGCCATTAATCTTCATATATCTTAAGTACACAGGGATTAAGAGAAGACAAAACATTCCATTTGTGATTAGCCAACTTGCCTTTGAATTCCTGTTTTTACAATATCAGCAGCACTTCACAACTACTGAAGTATTCTGATTTTTTGAAAACCATCTATGTGGAATGTGTATCAGCAAGAAAATACTTGGCCATCTGAAGAGCAATGGCAAAACTGTGATCAACAGAAAACAGCTACATATTTCAAGATGCTTTGTATATTGTGGGAAAGCTCAGAACAAGCAAATGAAAGTCACATGAAGGTCTGAAGCATTAATGTTGTTAAACTTGCTGTGAAAGGTACATATAGGCTTATGAACTGAAACAATCCAATAGCATTCTGATATTCTCACAGTCCTCTTCCCTATACTTTTTCACACTATGTCTGTGCCCAGTTCTGTTTTTGTAGCTGATCTGGCTTTTTAAAATCACACTAAGTCTGAGTACAGTGGGTTGAAACAGCACACTCCTTTCTCTCTGCACCACAAGGGAAAAAACAACCTGCTGTAGAGAAATGTTCGGCTTTTATGCCAGCCAATATGTCAGGTCCCCACAGAGTATTTCCCTCGCTTTACAGTGACATCTATCCACCAGTCCTGGGGAATCCCGACGTCATTCACTCAATATCAGCACTGTTTCATGTGGACAGCTCCCCTCTGCAGTCCTTCGGAGGAAATCTGGCAGAGGATGCCCAGAAAATGCTTTAAACGAGAATCAAATCAAAGATGTATCCAATGAAATAAATGTATATATTTGGAAAGGATGACCCAGTGCACACATGCCTAACTTCATGTAGAAGTACACCAAATGAAGGCATGATCAAAATTTCCAGTAGGCATTCCTCCCTTAGCAGCTTTGCCTTTAGCAGTCTTACTCTCCTCTAATCTACAGGAAACAAGCATTTTGAAACACTGACAACTAAAGAGCACTGACAGTCTGAGGATTGCAGGTGCTATGAAACATGACTGGGCACTCCATTCACAAACACTCAGGCTGGACCCAGCGTTTCACAGTAAGGCACATGATTTCCAATATCATACAGGAGTGGAGAGGGCTGGATCATATCTAGAAGAAGGGGGTTAACATTCTACAGCCATGAAAATGCCAGATGCTTAGAAAGACAAATTGTTTTCAAAATGCTTCTTTCCTTGTTGCTAGAAATAAATTGAGGGAAACTGAAAAACTTTAAGGGATGACTAAAAAAGGAGTAGTTGAAAAAACAACGAGACCGTTTTGCAACTGCTTTTTAAGCAAAGTCTTGCCAGGGAGTGAGTATTCTACACATACTCTCAAGGCAACATAAATACATCACCAAAGCCAAGAGAAGCTGAAATCACCTTCAGTTTCAGTAAAGTTGCCAAAACAACAACACATCCACATAAACAGTGAGCAACCAGAAACTCCTACAACCTCTAAAACCCATAACCCCCCACCAAGGGCTGCCTTTCTTCTTACGAAACACACACCAGCAGCCAAGGCCTTTTCTTCAGATGAAGGAAAAGCATTCACAAGCAGCTTCTTTCTTTCTCTGGATGGACTGAGACACATTTTTGTCCCTTGCCCAACAAGAGCCAGCAAAACAACAGGAGCAAGAGGTACCAAGAGGTTTACGCTCTTTTGCCTATCTCCAAAACTTGGCTCAAAACACTTTTGCAAAGTTTCCCACCCTTGTGACCCAACTTGTCTCTGAAAGAAGAAGAAATCTACACCCACCTGCAACTCGAGAGAGAGCAAAAGAGAGATGGAGGAAGGAGGAAAAATCCAATGCACAGCACAAGCATTAGGAGGAGAAGGAAAGAAGCTTGGAGAAGGAGATGAAGATGGTCACGGCAGAAAGGAAACCTGACCTACAGAAAGAAAGGGGACCTGAGTCATGAAAGCCTGTAAGAACTGTTCAATAGTTCAATAGTGGAACTCTCTGCCTCATGGTGTGGTGGAAGCTCCTTCCTTTGAGGCTTTTAAACAGAGGCTGGAAGGGTTGCCGTGAGTTTTTTGGGATGTATGACCATATTCCAGAAGCATTCTCTCCTGATGTTTTGCCCACATCTATGGCAGGCATCCTTGGAGGTTGTGAGGTCTGTTGGAAACTAGGCAAGCAGGATTATATATCTGTGGAACCTCTGTTTGAGGCAAGTGTGAATATTGCAATTACCAGCTTGATTAGCATTGAACAGCCTTGTAGCTTCAAAGCCTGGCTGCTTCCTGCATGGGGGAATCCTTTGTTGGATTTGTTGGAATCCTTAATTGAGTGGTGTAAACTGTCCCTGATTGTTTCCTGTCTGGAATTCCCTGGTTTTTGAGTGTTGGACTTGAGTCGTAGAAAGAAAGAGTCCCACAGAAATAAAGGGGACCTGAGTCATGGAAAGGAAAGGGACCTGAGTAGTAGAAAGAAATGGGGGCTGACCCACAGAAAGAAAGGGAACCACCCATAGAAAGAAAGGAGACCTGAGTCATAGAAAGAAAGGCAACATGGCCCATAGAAATAAAGAGGACCTGAGTAGTAGGAAGAAAGGGGACCTGACCCACCGAAAGAAAGGGAACCTGACACATAGAAAGAAAGTGGACCTCAATCATGGAAATAAAAGCTACCTGAGTAGTAGAAAGAAATAGGGGCTTACCCACAGAAAGAAAGGGAACCTGACCTATAGAAATAAAGGGGATCTGAGTAGTAAAACGAAAGGGGACCTGACCCACTGAAAGAAATGGGATCTGAGTTGTAGAAAGAAAGGGGGAGTGAATCATAGAAAGAAAGAGGACCTGACCCATAGAAATAAGGAGCACCCGAGTAGTAGGAAGAAAGGGGACCCGAGTCATAGAAAGAAAGGGAATCTGACCCATAGAAAGAAAGGGGACCTGAGTAATAGAAAGAAAGGGGACTTGACCCACCAAAAGAAAGGAAACCTGACACATAGAAAGAAAGTGGACCTCAATCATGGACATAAAAGCTACCTGAGTAGTAGAAAGAAATAGGGGCTTACCCACAGAAAGAAAGGGAACCTGACCCATAGAAAGAAAGGGGACCTGGGTCATATAAATAAGGAGGACCTGAGTAATAGAAAGAAATGGGGGCTGACCCACAGAAATAAATAGCACCTGAGTTAGGTGCTGAAGAATGGGGACCTGAGTCATAGAAAGGGGACCTGAATCATAGAAAGAAAGGGAATCTGACCCATAGAAAGAAAGGGGACCCGAGTAATAGAAAGAAAGGGGGCCTGACCCACTGAAAGAAATGGGATATGAGTTGTAGAAAGAAATGGGGACTGAATCATAGAAAGAAAGGGGGCCTGACCCACTGGAAAAAAATGGGATCTGAGTTGTAGAAAGAAAGGGGAACTGAATCATAGAAATTAGGGGGGGGGGGCTGTCGTGGAAAGAAAGGAGACCTGACCCATAGAAAAAAAAGAGGGGGTTGCGTCCTGGAGAGAAAGAGGACCTGACCCATAGCAAAAAAAAAAAAAAAAAAAAAAGGAGATCTGAGTCATAGCCTAAAAGGAGACCCGATCCATCGAAAGGCATGGCACTAGCAGAACTTCAACTCCTCCCTTTCCCCGCCTCCCTTTAAGGCACCGCTGGATGGGCTGCTGTGGGCCAGCCAAGCCAGGGATGCTACTTCTCCTTCTTCTTCTCTCTCTCTCTCTCTCGATGGCGATGTCAGTTTCGGGGAGGCGCCGACTTACCACATTCCCTGGTGCACAGGACCCTGCTGACCTCCTTCCTGAGACTCCTGCCCGTCTCCAGGGGCGGGGAAGACGCCTGGAAGAGCAGCGGCGGTGGCGGCGAGGAAAGCGAAGAGCCCGTGCCGTTGAGGCTGTTGCTGCTGGTGCTGCTACTCCCCAAGGGCTCCATGAAGAAGATGTAGCGGCTCTCTCGGCGGAGGCGGCTGCTGCTGCTGCTATTCCCGCAGGCAGAGGAGGGAGAGGAGGAGGAGGAGGGGACGGAGCCCCTCGGGGCCAGCAGCACCCACAGCAGCGCGTCCTTCCGCAGCCCGCCGCTCTTGGCCGGCCACACCTGGAGCACGCGCACCCGAGCCACTAACGGCGGCGGCGAGGAAGGAGGAGGGGAGGAGGAGGAAGAGGCGGGCAGGAGAGGGAGCTGCGGGCTGGGAGCTGGCGAAGGCGGGAGGACGGTCCCTGAGAAGGAGGAGCTGGAGGAGGAGGAGGCGGTGGGTTGCGCGAGGAGGAGGAGGAGGAAGGAGAAGGGCGCGCGCGTCGCTTCCTCCTCAAGCACCTTGCCCTCGACCACCACCGAGGCGCGCTGGGCCAGCGACTCCACCGAGGAGGAGGAAGAGGAGCACTGAGGGTTCACCACTGCCCCAAACAGCATGAGGAGGAGGAGAAGGAAGAGGAGGAGGCACAGCATGGCTCTCCCTGCTCGGCCTGCCTGGCTGACGGGGAATGCAAGCGAGGGGAAGGTGCCTCGCTTCTTCGCCGCCGCTCACTGTGGAAGAAGGATGGAGGCGCGAGGAGTGTCCAAACTGAAGGGCGCGAGCGCCTCCAGCCATGTGTCTCCCTTCCCAGGCTCTGCTTTTTTTCCCCCCTTCAACGCAGCCAATCAGAAGGGGAGGGGTGCGCGTGACCTCTCTCCCCAGGCACGCGACGCACTCTATCTCGCGCCTCACCTGCGCGGCGGGGGAGGGGGGAGGAGGGAGAGAGAGAGGTGGCATCAACACACACGCGCAAATGTAAACACCACAGTGAGCGCGAGCACGCTCTCCCTCCCGCAGGGGTGTGTCAAGAAGAGCAGGTATCCTCAAACTGTGGGCCTCCAAATCCCAGAAGCCCTAACAAGCTTGTTCAATGGACAGGATAGAATCATAGATTTGGAACAGACTTCTTAGGCCATCCAGTCCAACCCCCTGCCAAGAAGCAGGAAAATTCCAACCATCACCCAAGTCAAAAAAGAAGCACCATTAAAGCCTTGGCAGACCGTGCAAAAAGAATCTGCGAACCCCACCTCCTCCAAGATGAACTGAACCACCTCAACTGGGCTCTCCAGGCCAATGGATACTCCACCTCAGACATCAGAAGAGCTGCAAGACCAAGAACAAGCCACGAGAGTAAAGATGAAGATCTACCCAGAGGAAAAGTGTTCCTGCCATACATCAAGGGAACCACTGACCGCATAGGGAAGCTGATGAGGAAACACAACATACAAACAATCTACAAACCCACCAAAAAAATCCAACAAATGCTACGTTCAGCAAAGGACAAGAGGGATCCTCTCACCTCTGCAGGAGTCTACCGTATACCATGCAGCTGTGGACAAGTCTACATAGGGGCCACCAAACGCAGCGCCCAAACACGAATCAAGGAACATGAAAGGCACTGCAGACTACTTCAACCAGAGAAGTCAGCCATAGCAGAGCACCTGATGAACCAACCTGGACACAGCATTTTATTTGAGAACACAGAAATGCTGGACCACATCAACAACCACCATGTCAGGCTACACAGAGAAGCCATTGAAATCCACAAGCATGTGGACAATTTCAACAGAAAGGAAGAAACCATGAAAATGAACAAAATCTGGCTACCAGTATTAAAAAAAACCTCTAAAATTACAACAGCAAAACAGCAGAAAGGAAACAAACAACCAGGCACATCTTAACACCTCTCAACAAAAGTTTTTCCCAGGCTCAGCCAGGCCTTCAAATGCTAATGAAGGTGGTCAGTTGAAACATTCACACCTAGCTCCAGCAGAGAAGAGCTCTTTGCCCCACCCCAGCCATTCCACAGGTATATAAACCCATTTTCCTACTTCCAACAGACCTCACTACCTCTGAGGATGCTTGCCATAGATGCAGGCGAAACGTCAGGAGAAATGCCTCTAGAACATGGCCATATAGCCCGAAAAAACCCACAAGAACCTAGCAGGAAAATTGCATTCAAAGCACCCCTGACAGGTGGCCATCCAGCCTCTGTTTAAGTAAATACATTAAATAGATAGAATCATAGAATCACAGAGTTGGAAGAGACCTCGTGGGCCATCCAGTCCAACCCCCTGCCAAGAAGCAGGAAAATTGCATTCAAAGCACCCCTGACAAGTGGCCATCCAGCCTCTGTTTAAGTAAATACATTAAATAGATGTAATCATAGAATCACAGAGTTGGAAGAGACCTCATGGGCCATCCAGTCCAACCCCCTGCCAAGAAGCAGGAAAATTGCATCCAAAGCACCCCTGACAGGTGGCCATCCAGCCTCTGTTTAAGTAAATACATTAAATAGATGTAATCATAGAATCACAGAGTTGGAAGAGACCTCATGGGCCATCCAGTCCAACCCCCTGCCAAGAAGCAGGAAAATTGCATCCAAAGCACCCCTGACAGGTGGCCATCCAGCCTCTGTTTAAGTAAATAATAAATAGAATCATAGAATCACAGAGTTGGAAGAGACCTCATGGGCCATCCAGTCCAACCTCCTGCCAAGCAGGAAAATTGCATTCAACGCACCCCTGACAGGTGGCCATCCAGCCTCTGTTTAAGTAAATACATTAAATAGAATCATAGAATCACAGAGTTGGAAGAGACCTCGTGGGCCACCCAGACCAATCCCCTGTCAAGAAGCAGGAAAATTGCATTCAACGCACCCCTGACAGGTGGCCATCCAGCCTCTGTTTAAGTAAACACATTAAATAGATGGAGTCATAGAGTTGGAGCCCCTGGTGGTGCAGAGGGTTAAACCCTGTGCCGAAGACCGACAGGTAGCAGGTTCGAATCCGGGGAGAGGCGGATGAGCTCCCTCTATCAGCTCCAGCTCCTCAGGCGGGGACATGAGAGAAGCCTCCCACAAGGATGATAAAAACATCAAATCATCCAGGCATCCCCTGGGCAACGTCCTTGCAGATGGCCAATTCTCTCACACCAGAAGCGACTTGCAGTTTCTCAAGTCCCTCCTGATCTTATAAAAATATAGAATCATAGAGTTGGAAGAGACCTCATGGGCCATCCAGTCCAACCCCCTGCCAAGAAGCAGGAATATTGCATTCAAAGCACCCTTGACAGATGGCCATCCAGCCTCTGTTTAAAAGCTTCCAAAGAAGGAGCCTCCACCACACTCCGGGGCAGAGAGTTCCACTGCTGAACAGCTCTCACAGTCAGGAAGTTCTTCCTCATGTTCAGGTAGAATCTCCTTCCTGTATCAATGACCAATTGCTAGTTGAATTCTACTAACTGAATTTCTGTGCCTTCTGTATCTTCCACCAAAGAACTCCAAGGTGGTGGCATCAGGTCTGCTTCACGTCACTAGTAGACGATCAACTGGATATTTTGTGCACCATCCAGTCTCTCCACACACAGTTCAACAGAGTAAGTCATCTATGAATGACAAAATGCTACACAGACGATAAAACTTTGCTGTGTCCCACTTAGCTAATAAGCAGTAATCTTTTCAGGTGCTGACAGTATATCATGAAAATATCATTGCAGATTTGATAAATGTGAATTTAATATGATGTGTGGGAATCAGGCCCGTAGCCAGGATTTCGTTTCGGGGGGGGAGGGGGCTGAATTTTTTTCTGGGGGGGGGGCTGGGTTTCGGGGGGGCTGAGTTTGGTTGGGGGGGGGGCTGAGTCTGAGTGAAAGAGGGTCTAGCCTAGCAAACCTTTTGTATCATTACCCCAATACCCCCATGCATATGGGATATATTGAGTATGGTGATCAGATCATGATATGAATAAACATAACAGTTTAAATAATGCACCAGTAAGGCCTTTTCGCGAACCACCATGAGAATTTTGGGGGGGGGGCTGAATTGAAGCCCCCCCCCCCCCCCAGCTACATGCCTGGTGGGATGGATGGAAAAATGGAAGATGAATGTATGGATGGAGCTAATAATTTTGGAGACATCAGTATATTAAGGCCTGCAATGACTAAACCTGCTTTCTGGACTGTAATTAAAAGTTGCTAATAACTACTGAAAAATAAATTCTGATAAGAATTGGGACAGTGATAACATAAATGTTTACAATGTTAAGGAAATCAACATAAGATCAAAACCAATCAAGAAGAATCTACATCTAGTCAGGAGCCAGGATGGAAGAAGTCTATTATTAATTTACAACTTTGGGACTACATCAGCAGAATATTCCTATAAAAGAATCAATCTAATAATGTTCAAATTATGACAGACCTGAGTAGTCTATTCACCCGCCTTTCTGGTCTATAGGAAGGACAGAGATTGTGTATTGGAGAGTGGCAGATTTGCCCGGGAACAGTCTGGTCACTCTGGGGATTCTTTCTCAAGGGAAGAGGAAGAAATTCGCTTTTGGAGTCTTGGATTTTGTGCAGAGAGTCAGGTTCTGCTGTAAGGAAAACAGAGATCTGGTCCTTGGCATTGTTCTTAGGGAACGGAGTTTTGGCATTTCGGCATTTTGAAGTTTTGGTGTTATGGAACTATACATTGATAGGCTGCAGGAAAGCAGGGTCTGGCCTAACAGGTGCTTCTCCAAGGAGGGAGGATATTTGGGTGCATGAGGATCCATGAGGATGAATGCATGTACATGTGTGTGAATGATGCGTGAAAATGTAATTCCCCTTTGTTTGTTAGCCATATAATTGTAAATCCAATGTAGTTGCATAGAATCTGTATGTCTGTATGTCCAATGTCATTTTTGTCTAAATGTTTTTCTGTAATCTGATATACTCTCTCACACTGGAAATTGCAATAAAAAGAACCTATTCTTTAAAGTTATTGAAAAGTCATTCATGACAAGTATAGTGGACCTTGAGATTTGGCTCAAGAAACCCACATAGATACCAGAATCTGTACATTCTCAAGTCCCATTATATGCAATGTTGCAGTGAGATGATGCCTCTGATATAAAATGCTGAGCAACTCAATCAATCACTAGAGGCAGCCCGAGGATCTGTGGAATGGCAGGGGACACAGGACATCCTATACATCATGATCCAAACCACAGTGAATCCATGGAACCTGTGGATACTGTGGGAAGACAGTACTAGGTTACCTCCACTGTATTCAAGGGAAGAGATGGAATAATGTATGCTATTTTCAACCAACAGACATGCTTTTCCTTTCCTCTCCTTCCTCCTTCTTTCCTCTGGCAACATATAGCAGTAAAACAACAGTAACAACAGTTGGTTTAGCTGAAATTTATTCCCCAATGCATGGACTTTTATGTATTCAGTATAAGAATGCACAGTTTGTATGAAGAGCTTCATAAGGACACAGTACCACATTCTTTTATCTGAGTAGTGGTGTAAACTTTTATCTTTTACTTTTATCTGAGTGGCAATGTAAACACCAAGTCTTTTAATCCATATGTACACAGAGCCGCTTGCAGAGACTGACAGCTGAGAAACTGCACAGAGAATGCATTTCTTGCTATGCAAGTGAATATGTTCCCACCTGATTCAGCAAAGAGATGCTAAGAATATAAAGAGTTGCTTGGGGAAGGAAGAGATTGGGATGTTATACAGGGTTTTACCCTGGAGCGGTATTTTCCCATACTCTTTTGTTAAATGGAAAAGGGTCTCTTGTGCTATCCTGTCAATTAACTTACTGAAA